CGATAGTATCTCCAGCTGGTTCGCTGGATTCACGGGCGCTGGGAGTGGAGCCGAGAGTACCGTCAGCTGGCTCGCTGGATACACGGCCGTTGGGAGTGGAGCCGAGAGTACCGTCAGCTGGCTCGCTGGACACACAGCCGCTGGAAGTGGAGCCGATAGTACCGCCAGCTGGCTCGCTGGATACACGGCCTTCGGGAGCGTGGATCTGAGAGTCTCTCCAGCTGGCTCGCTGGATACTCGGCCGCTGGGAGTGGAGCCGATAATACCGTCAGCTGGCTCGCTGGATACTCGGCCGCTGGGAGTGGAGCCGATAGCCTCTCCAGCTGACCCGGGGTCGCGGTTCCGGGAAAATCGGCAGGATGCCATTTGCCCTTGTGCGGGACATGCAAGAACCATGCCATCTGACAACTGCGAACAATTATGCAAATGGTTTGTAACACGAACAAATGGCAGGGCGACTTGGCGACCAGGAGCCTGCCAACACCAGCACACCAGCATCCAGCGGTCTTCGAATTCCGCACCTGGTGGCCTGACCTGCCCGCCGCTGTTACGCAAGCATTGCCAGCTCGGTAAGCCGCTCCCGCTGACCCTACCTCCTGTCAGCTGCTGCTGCGTCAGCGCTCTCCGCCACGGGGCTTCAGTCTCCGGTGACCCCATCCGCTTGGGAACTGCTCTTTGTCAGCATTTCCGGCACTGTGGTGCCTGCCCTCCGGTGGCCAAACATGTAATTGTGTATGCAGCCACAGTCCCCGGCTGAATCTGGAAACAAACATTCTTGACATTATCAATGATAGCTGCGGTTGGGAAAATATGACAAGTTGCGTTTCGGCAACCCACAAGTTGCTTACGAACGGCGAACTCGGTTCTGCAGAGGTTTTAAACTGGCATTTCGGTCGCCATAGTTTTTGGCATCGTTTGTGTGACAACCCGTTGATTCGGAGATTCTAGCGGAGGCTAAAAGAAGTCAGCTATAGCATGTCAGGTCCTCAGAACAGAATAATGTGCAAAAGAATGTTCAGAAGAATGTACAGAAGAATGCTCCAGGGTAATACTTTTTGTGAAAGTATGGAAGGTCAAGGCTGGTATGGTTATCCGTTTTAAGCCGATTTCTGTTTATTTGTATTGGTATTTGTTTGCTCAAAATCCATCGAGGTAGTTTTTGAGTCTCCGGCACGTTGCAATGTTTGCTAGGTTCGGTTCGTTACAACACTCACTGGCTCGTTACAACGCATTACGAAAAATATTATAGAATACTATGCTACGAAATATACTATGAACTTCGATGTAAGGACATACACTATGAAATATGATATTTTGAAATACGATATTATAAGAGGCGATTATATAGCACTCCATACTACAAAATACAATCCTTAGAAATGCGCTGATGTAAAATACGTGCGAAGTCGAAAGATGAATCTAATCAATGCTGCCATAAATAACAATATAACATAACGATACAATAAAAACAATAACCATGCTGACAATTAATCGACCACAAAATGTGCCAATCTCAGAGTTCAAATACAAGGAATGAACACAAATTGTGAGTACATGGGATCCGCATTGACAAGGAAAGATCACATAAGTACATAAATATGGCGAGCAATCACACAGGTCACCAGTATGGACTAAAACCCAAGGCGCATTATCGCAACATTTGCGTTTTGAAATGCGAGTTTTTAATCTCTCAGAGATGAAGGCATTTGTCTTTAATGTCGACCAGAGACCGTCAACACTGAACAGTTGGCTCCGCAGCGGTGTGAACCCTGGGAGCCCATTTCCCAAGCAAGAACGAGGCAGGTGCCCAACTGCATTGGTTTGGGTCTCTGAAACAGTGATCGAGACTTCTGCGTCGCTGATGTGCCCATGGTGCCTAACAGCGGGTCATGTGTCGGCGAATGGTACCGAGTCCGTCTCGGTCTTTGTTTGAGGGGGCCCAAAGGGGGCTGAAGAGCCCCTCGGCACCAAAGATCAAGAGTCCGATTGGAAGGCTGAAGGGACCGAAGATGTAGGTCATGATAAGGATGACCCCCCCCCCCCCCCCTCCTTCGCCCGCAGGACCGTGGCCTCAAAGGTCGGCCAGAGAGCCTCTTGTACCAAATGGGGATCCATGGGACAGTGCGCGCCTCTATTTTGGTCAGAGATCACCAACACCGAGCAGTCGGCTCAGCGTCGTTCTGAGCCTTAGTGGCCCGTTGCCCAAGCACGAGCGAAGCCGGACCCGAGCATTGCATTGGCTTGGGTTCCTGAAACAACGAAGGTGCCTGTTAGTTTCCCGCAGTGCCTAATTGGGGTCCCGTGTCAACAAAGGAACCCGATCGGCCAGGGGAACGTTTGCTCAACAGGGCCAGCGGTGGAATCCCGATACATATCATAAGTTTCATTCAGAGGCAAAGTTCAGAGCTTCGCAAGGTGCATTTGAACACCCCGCGAAGTGGTGTACTCTGGGAGCTTAATTCAAGACTGCACATTCTGGTGTTTGAGCACTTAGCCTCAATCTGTGCCAGTTTAGTTCTAAAATCAATAGTGTGACCGTTGAGTCCGCATTGAAAGGGGATGGGCTTAGCTTCGCCTCTAGCGTACTTCCTGGACATTTTGCAAGTATGGCGGATGAAAAAGGCTACGCACCCTTCGGGTCCCCACAGCCAGACGGCCCGCGCCGCGCGTTATCTACTGCTGGAGCTTTTGCCACCCTCAGGCCTGCATTTATCACCGGATGCGAGCAAGCCCGCCTGACTTAAGGCGGATCACGTCGTATGTCCAGCACCGAACTAACCGTCTGAACTGGAGTCGGGGATCGCTCGCCCACTGCGCCAGGTATGCCAGTTCCTGTGGAATACTCAGGACCTGCAGCGAGTCCAGACCGAGGGCGTCTTCAGCCGGCTGCAACTCAGTCACTCAGCTTAGCAGCTCAGCAAACATCGACTGGCCAAGGGTCGATGGAGGAATTGGAAGCCACCAAAACTGTCGCGCAACGCTCCACCAACCGGAAGACCTATGTATTCGTCCAGCATGTCATTAACTTTCCTTGTCTTCAAACAGCTCACTAACCAAGTGGATGTCGGATGCGTGGTTTCCAAGTTCTATCTCGACGCCGGCATCATCCATGCGGTGCTCGGGATACGGAAGCCGGCGATGACTGCACGATGAGTTCCTTTGATTTCAGGCTCGCCCAAGCCTTATCCAGGATTTGTTGGGAAAGGGTAAACGAAAGCAGCGGTACCTGTGCATCATGAAACCAGCAGCCGTCCGGGCCCAGCCCTGATAAATCACTAGGCCCCAGTGCATGTTGACTTGGATGCTCCCGTTAGATGAAGCCGCGCGAATGTGCCTGGCCAGGTCAGGGTCGGAAGCCCCTGCCGAGGAGCTTGGGGCACCTCAGCCTCTTGCTCTGCTATACCCGACCGATCCTCAAAGATATATCAGCCAGTAAGGTGAGAGATGCGCAGAAACTTACTCCGGTAAACCGTCCTAGGCTACACCGATATTTGGCCATTTTATCCGTCGGATGATCTGCCCGGCCGGTGACGTACCTAAATACAATCCGGTGCCCTGAAATTTGACGGATTCACTTGGGGTTAGTTCACTTGAGGGTGCAGTTGTGATGCACAAAATAAACTGGTAACTCAGGGTGCATTTTTGAGGCCATCTGGTGCTTCCAAGGTCATCACTAATTTCACATGCTAAGCACTTCTTAGTTATCTTTATTTATCCGCTTTTTATATATAAGCATTTATATATTATATTTATTTACATATTACATTTATTATATATAAGCACTTCTTTATTCTTTATTTAGCTTAAATCGCAGCGGGTTGTCCTCGAATAGCTTACATCCTGGGTCATTACCACCTCATAACCACATTACCACCTTACCAACACCACATTATCCACGTTAGCACCTCGGGTCTCCAACTACCTAGAAATTAAATAGGACTGTAAACTTAACTCATTTGTTCTTATTGATCTTGATCTTGCTAATCATTCCACTCACCAGACGTGTTGTAATGCGACCGCCATGTCCGTTGCCACGCGTGCGGCTGTGCCGGCGTTAAAGGTGTACCCTCGGTGACGTCACATAAGCAGCTTCATTGGAAAGTGCGTAGTCAGGACGGTACCACCTGGCACACAACGCTTCGCTCACAGCTGCCTTCGATGGCTTGTCAGCGCCACCTTTTATTGGGATTTCGGAAGCTTACAGGTATCTGCGATAGCTGGCAGCACATGCACTATTTCGAGAAGTTCGGGCTATATGTTGGCGGATCTATAAATACCCTATCGGTTTGGTTAAAAGATGCGGAGAAATTTACTGCCGATAACAAGATTCACTACTTTCCCCTTTAAAGTGCTAATGGATATTGGGCAGTGTTTAAGTCCGCGAGTGGAGCGAACTGAGGAACTGGGAAGCGTCCCTCTTCAGTGGTTTTGAAATGCGTCATTACCCTCAATGGTTCTAAGACGTTCCCTCCCGCCATAGTTCACCGTTCAAAACGTCAAGCTCGTATCTCGATTTCCCTAAAACGCATTACACCGAACGGCATTGAGTGTTATTGTCGATCAGCAAACCAAGACCGATGCTTCTGCTGTGTTGAGCCGTGAGCTCAATACAGCAAAGAACGTCTTATCCGTCGCTAGTCCGCCCGAGTGGTGTGGAGGGGGCTCTGTCGGCGGGGTACTGGAAGGCCTGGTCGTGCAATAGTGTAGTGCAGGTTGAATTTGTTTGCTGCAACACGTATTAGCAAAGGGAGAAACGAGCGGAGGCTGCGGTTGAGAGGTGTTTTACACAGACAAGTTTTTCGCAGTGCAGAGACGGAGAGACGTGGCGGCCCCGAGCGAGAGCAGGCCCGTTATCACCAGTGGGGCAGAGGCCTGCCCGCCTGCCCGCGGCACTCTCCGGGCCGGCTGAGTCACGGCCGATTACACAGGTGTTCCTGGCAGGCCCACATCGGCCGCTGTCGGGGCAGACGCGGCCGGTCGATAGCGCGCGCGTCAAACGGGCCGCGCGTGACAGCGGCGGCGGCGCGCGGCGCGAGCGAGCCTCTTGTGCCCACCTACTGGTGCCACGCGCCGCCAACAGGTGAGCCCAGCGAGTGGCCGGGCCGGGAGGGACGTGCTCGCTGAGAAGGTCCACCTAGGTGGTGCACGCGTCTTGGACGTAGACGCCGAGGGCAAGTTGCTCTGATTACCTTTTCTGTGCAGGCGAGCTCATTACGTAATCCTGTTGCTTGCTAGTTTCGCTGTTGTGAGGACTGGCTGTCTACCTGCTACTGTGTGTAATGTACCTGTTCCATTCATTCAAGTTGTGCGCTGCGTTGCGAATGGCCGGTTTATTAGAACTCCCTGCCACCTGTAGATTTCGGACATCTGTTGGTGAGTCATCCAAGCGCAACTGACAGTTTTGGCCACTCGCTCTTTCAGACTGGTCACTCGTTGCTCTGTGAGACCCGGCTGAGGTGGTTTGGCCACAGGCGCCAGCGAAGCTTCAGCGCCAGCGCCAGCACCAGCGCCCGCCGAGTCCGACCGGACCCGGCCCCGGTGGCTAGACGCCGGCGGCCAGCCCGGTTGGGTCGCCGGCTCGTGAGCAGTACCGTTCGCGGGGGTTGTGAGCCGGCCCCCGGCCCGTGCGTGCAGCGGCGGCGGGGTCGCCCGCCGGCTCGGCGCAGTCGCCACCGTCGCCATGGCGGCCGACGCCGACTCGCGGAACCAGTTGGAGCAGCTGTTCCTGGCCTGCGACAGCCAGGGCACCGGCTTCATCGGACGACGTGAGCTGCGCGAGCTTTGCCGAAGCTTCGATATCTCCGGCGACGACTCGGACCTCATCTTCGACGACCTGGACTGCGACGGCGACGACCGCATCAGCTTCCAGGACTTCTGCCGCGGCTTCCGTGACTGCGTCAACACCGACTTCGCCTCGGTCAGCTGCAAGGGTCCCGAGCCGGCCGAGGGAAGCGGGCCAGCCGAGCCGGCGTTGGCGCCGGCGCCGGCGCCGTCGGAGGAGAAGCGGTCCGAGCGCCGCGAGCACGGCAAGAAGGCCAAGAAGAAGGGCCTGCGCCGCCGAGACAGCATGCACCACGCCTTCAAGCAGTTCTCCAAGACGCTCGGCGAGGAGAATGTGCTTCACTTCATCGGAAACAGGTGGGTCCTGCTGGCCGCTTTTGTTCATCGTTCGCTGCACTGATGGAGTTGTAAGTGGTCAGGTGGAGACAATGCAGGCCTTGCCATTGCTTGGATGGCTATGGGGTTTGAATCAATGCATTAGATGAGAGCTGTTCATCGTGTGGTTGGCACCGTAACCAGCCTGTGGCGGGAGGTGGGATGCAGTCAAAGTACATATGGCGATCTCAATGACAGAGGACGATCTGGACGAGAAAGATAAGGACCCTTTCTATGCTAGCATCGTTAGACAGGGCTCTTATTTGATACTAAATTTGAGCCGCATGAAAACTAGGAAAACTGAAGCAACAGTCAGCGTTTGGGGTCTGGCCTATAAAAACGTCATGTTTTGCTTCAGAAAGGTTTTTGTTTCTATCATATACGTATTCATCGAATCACATTTAAGTCAATTTATTAGTTGGTCTCACGGAACCAAGTATGGGCAGCACATTTAAACAAATCGAATTTTGTTAGTTATGTTTTGTAAGTTACGCTGTTTCTATTTTTATCGATTCAGTGAATTTGGTTCTTCTTGTTTTTGTTCACTTGCTTTGCCAGTACCGCATGCCCTATGACTCGCAGACACCAACAGTTGTACTGGGTGGTTATCAGTGCATTTGAGCCAAGAGCGTGGGGAATTGGAAATTGTGTGGGATGTTTACCATGATCTTTGTGATTTTGTACTCAAGATGCCATGGCTGGTTTTCTCAAAGTATTGAATAATATTTGCACAGCAACATTCGCACCCAAAGTTCAAACAGCTCATCAAAAACATCAATCATATGTTGTAATTAACACATCTTTATATTATAACTTGTTACTATGACAGCTTTATATTAGAGGTTGACGTCTTACGTGAATATCAGCCAATCACAGCACCCAAGCGGTAAAGCGTTTCGTGCAACCAGTTTTAGATTTGACATGCTGGCAAGGGCACAGCATAATGGTGTTTTGAATGCTTATGCTATAGGGAATGTTTTACCTCTAAAGATATTGAGGCAAACAATAAATATGATGAAATAAACTCATTTATAACTACTTGTATACTTTTTAATGGAAAGCCTACTGTAGACAACACGGTTGCTGTGCGTAGTAAATATGCTCCTCAATATTCCATTGTTTGATTTCGTCAGCGTACATTTCACAGCATTGGTTGAAAGCCAACTGACGAGCTTCATATCCGGCAATCGTGCTCACGAACGCCACATACGAATAAGTCCACAAGCATGTTTTTATTAGACTCAAGTCACTGCATGATTAATGGAATGACAGGATTAGGATGACGTTAGTATGGCAGTCATGAATGGCTGTGTGACCTTGAAATAGTTTACCCGAAATAGGCTGCACGTCCTCGCGGGCGTGAATCTCAGAAACTAGAAGAGTGTAGGTCTTAGAAAAACAGGGATGTGAGCTGCGTCGAATGATCTTCAAGGTGGCTTTTTCAGTTCAAAACCCTACAAATCAATTGTGCAGAATGCTTCTTGCTTTTAATAATTTCGGCTGAACGTCCCAAAGTTTTTTAGTTGCGGAGTTTCACAAAAACAATGTTAGACGTTGGACATTTTATTGTCTCCAACAACACATAAGGCACACAAAACATAAAATTGCTTTCAGTTGCTTGTTGGAGGTCATTAATGTTTTATGTTGATTTTGAATGGCAGCCTATGATTTCTGTTCTTGAAGAGGTGTTCTAACATGGTGTGCGGATGTTGTTCTGTTTTTAAGTAACATTCTGGAAAATCAGAAGTGATGTCTTGAGTAGAACATTGCAAACACCTTGATACGCATCTTTTACAATTTCCAGGCGCCACACTCGTGACTCAAGTCCACTGATAATCGCCCAGCCCAGTTAGCGAGCACGTCTTGGTCCGTTGGGGTTCGCATTGTTTGACGATGAGGTCCGCAGTGTCCTTAGTTTTTGCTTAAAGTAATGTTTAAAGCTAGCATTTTTGCTCCACTTCTGCGTGCCACCAAGTGTTCTTCTTCTGTACATTACGACCGAGTGTTCTGTTAGTGGTGTGCACGCTCTCCGTAAGCATACGTTCCCATGATGTTCATTAATCCGGTCACGAATGTTACACGTTGTTTCTCCTACATGAGGTTTTTCTTGGCAAAGATTACAGGATATGGCACCTGTGATCTATATGATATTGATCTCGTATGCTGCGCTATTCGGCATGCATTTCCCATTCATTTCACTCACACATGCATGGCAAATCCTATTTCCACCTGGGGCAACGAGGTCTTAAGCGCTGATCGTACTAACATGGCTTTACAACTAAGACCACTAGTATACGGTACCCTAAGACCATGCATATCACTCGACTGTACGGCGGCATGAACTTGTTCCCACATCTTTTCGTCTATGCAGGCAAATCAACTTCAGAACTTTACACTCATAATGCTCAAAATCAAAAGCCAAAGAATTGTCTTAGGTCAAGTCCCCTGCTTGTTCACAGGAACGCGTCTGTTCGCATGGCCCGAGTACGCAGGCTGGCATACGCAATACGACATTAGAAACTGCATCCCCGGGCCTATAGTTCGGGCTCGGCCCCAGACCACTTCCTCTTTTTCCTTCTTCTAAACCGGATCCCCGGGGAAGGAGGTACACTGGGGATGAATCCATGCCCTCAGCTGCTGAGGAGTGGATTGGAGACCCGGCCGAGACAGGTTTTCTTAAGGTTATTGAGAGCATCGAGGAGAAATAGAAGTGCAATGCTTTTAAGGTAGAGTGCAACGACAAATAGTTTCCTTTCATCTGCGAGAGTGGCCACGAGGGGGGAAGCTGTGAGGTACGGCGTTGTATACAATACGCTGTGGTCGGAACTGTAGCGGGGGTCGTGGCTAGATTTACGTCATCGCGTGCACCGATTCATTTCCTGCATCTACCACTCGTTTATTCGTCATCATGTGCACTGCCCCGTTCATACACCACTTAACTTCAACGGGCGCAAGGCCACATTTTCGCGTCGCCAAAATGCCACCGGTTGATCGCCCAGACGCCGCGGCTGCGTCGTGTGTCGCCGGCGTCCGCCATCCGTCATTCATGCATGCATTCATCTATTTGTTGTGGCGGGAAAGGTGAGCTTAGTGACAACGAAATTCACTACCTGAACTCCTTGCTTTGGGAGAATGTCGGCGAAACCACGTACACCGAGTGAAGAATAATTTGCAGCCAGTACGATACGAGGACCCACGAAATGCAATAAGATTATACCAAAGCTCACTGCTATGGCCAAACAGTACTTCCATTGGCTTTGCAGGTGTGTTTTGGAGTTACTAAAGAGTCTGAAAAACAATGTCGCAGCATCGAAAAGAAGCAGTGGTAAAATAGGGGAGTTCTTCCTTTTGGAGTAGTAGCAAAAGCGGTTTTCTTGAAATTTTGGATTGCACAACGACGCTCCAACCACAGTGGACACCTGGAGAGCAAGAAATGAACGTCTTCAGTAGTCAGCAAGTCGCACCCGATTCCCGTCAGGCATCCCTGTAGTTAGAGTTCCGGTCGGCCAGGGACCCCATGAATGGTGTTGTGCATAACAAAATAGTGCAAATATAGATCGTTTATAGATACTCCGTCACTTAGCAAAGCGAGCAAGCATGTGCTTTTTTCCCTCCACTTGCACAGCCGTCCCAATAGCTCAGTTGGCTAAAGACCATGCATTTCGATTAGCATACTGGTGGCGGGGAGCAACTCTTATGCGGTCATTATTTAGCCCTGGCCCGCATGGACTGCGGCCGGTAGCAGCGGGTGCGGTGGAGGTCAGGTCACGTCAGAGGGTCCTGCCCTGAGGGTAGAACGGGCAGGGCAAGTGCGGCACGTTAAACTCTCGTCGTAAAATACTACCGCTGGCCCAGAGTTCCACGAGCAAATGGTGGTGTGGTAAGCGGTGCCTGTTGAGTCAGCTAACAAATGGTGGTGTGGTAAGCGGTGCCTGTTGAGTGAGCTACAAACAAAAGCACCAGCGTGCTTCCACAGGCACTACAAGCTCACGCCAGAAACACCTGTTCCCAGAAATATATCCGAGCCGAAGTTGAGGAGCAAATCTGTAAGAAAACACCGCAGCCGATTTCCTGATTCGACTTCGTATGCATTCCCGAATTACGGTTAAATGGAGATGAAAATCTCCCACCCACTCGCGTGATATACGAACAGAACCGACCGAGCAGCAGCCTATTCAGCTCACCTCGATTTCGGTCAAGCTTCACTACCACTCCGTTAAAAGAAGGGGTCGTCCATCAACCACTCCCCGCTGATCTGCCTGCTGCTGATGGCGCGCGCCTGGATCAGGACTGTTCCGCACAGCAGCTTTGTGTTGCGTTACAGTCTTCGGCTCCAGAATTGAACTCCGAGAACGAAAGCGCACTGGGGCTGAGCTGAGCTCGATGAGCTCACACAATGAGCTCGAGGGACCTAATTGCTGTCAAAACTAAACGTCCATAATGTGCACAGCAGACGATCTCTGAGGCAGCTCATGCCGTGGTCAAGCAAGCTTATGAATTATGGGTATCGTCCAGATCATCAGTCGCAAACGAGAGATGGCCTATCAAGGACACGTCGATCGACTTCCACGTCTTGCGTTTTGACCTTTGTTTTCATGAAAGATGACATCATTTAAAGTTTGGAAAAGCGTCACAACATGGTTTCTTACGATGCAATGTTTGCCAAATTTGGTAATCAGTGTTGTAGGTATTAGCTATCAAAATATCTGCTACGAACGTCCGGCCTTCTAAAAAAGCGTTCTCCGAATTCTCGCATCGTGAATTCAAAATGAACGCCATGTAACTCGCATCATTGCTAGCGTCTCATTATGTGCGTGGGTTATGGGTAGCTGGTGTAAGAAGACTGGATCGCCTCGTCCAATATTTTTTTTCGAAATGAAAGTCATAAATAGTTGAAGCCGTCCACACAAACACTGTAATAAATACCATTTTAAAATGTTGACTCCGCATCCAAAATATATGAGTGGATGCAAAGGTGGAGGAACGATATATACAAGCATACTTACAGATGGAAGGAAAGTGTTTTATTTTTCGTTGCACTCTACCTTGAAAGCACTGCGCTGCTGTTATTTCTCCTTGGTGTTGTCGATGCCCTTCAGAAAAATTGTCTCGGCTGGCTCTCCACCCATTCCTCAGCAATTGAGCACACAGACTCATCATCGGTGAACCTCCTTCCTCGGGGATCCGATTCAGAAGACGCGAAAGAAGACGCTGGTCCTGGCCGAGGCCGAACCATAGGCCTGGGATGCAGCTTTCAAAGCCGCGTTGCGAGTGGCAGTCTGCACAGCTCGGGCCCTGTGAACAGACTCAATGTCGTGAACAAGCAGGCCACCTGGCATAAGAAAGACCTACAGCTCTTAATTTTTCGGCCTTTTGAGTTCCGATGTTGATTTACCTGCATAGAGGATGAACTGTGAAAACAAGTCAACGCCGCTGTGCAACCAAGTGGTGTGCATGGTCTTAGGGTAGCGTAGACTAGTGGCCCTAGATTTTCAAGTTCACGCTAGTACGGTCAACACTAGAGACCCCAATGCCTCCAGCTGGGGGTAGGATTTACCTACGCATGTGCTAATGGAACGGGAAATGCACGCGGAAGTACGAAGCACACAAAATATTCCGTAATCTTGGCCCAGAAACACTTCATGCAGGAGAAACAATGCGTGGCATTCGTGACCGGTCTAATGAATACTTTGGAGGCGCACGTTTACGGAGAGCGTGTACACGACGAGGAAAAGACTTGGTAGGTGGTAGGTCGGCACGCAGAAATGGAGCAAAAACAACAGCTTTGAAATATAACCTTAAGCAACAGCTAAAAACATTGCGCATCTCATCCTCAGACAATGCGAACCACAGTGGAACTAGACGGAATCGCTGTAATTATGCCGGACACGAAATTATCTAACGAGCGCGTAGACGATTGGTGGTGGGTGATTATCAGTGGGCTTGGGCCACAAATTTCGGAAATGGAAATTGTGTAGGATGCTTATCAAGATACTCTACTCAAGATGCCACGGCTGGCCGTCCCATAATATTGCTTATTAATTACAGGACAACCGGACCCGCACTCCACGTTGACAGACCTCGTCAAAAACAGCAATCATAGGTTGTCTTTCAACCTCAACATCAGTCATTGATGCTCTCCAGCAGGCAAATGAACACAATGATATGCTTTGCTTGTCTCATGTGTTATTGAAAAACATAACATGTTTAATGTCTTCCACTGTTTTTTGTGTAAATCTGCAGCTGAAAACTGGAGAGACTCAGTGGAAATGATTAAGAACAGGAAGCATTCTGCACCATTAATGTAGGTCTTTAAGATGGCATTATGCTGTGCTCTTCCCAGC